AGTTTGCCTAGAAGTAGCACCGGCCCTGCTTGTACAGACTTATGTGAAAAAAGGACCTTACCTGGTTAGAGTCTGTACAAGAGTATACTGTGCAATCTGCTGTTGTAAAAAGCCTGTAATTTACGACACTCCATAGCACAACTGTATTTAGCACATGACTCCTCTTTTATCAAACCGCTTAATCTGAGGTTTCAGTTAGATATAGCCAGCCATGAGGCAGGCTGCTTTTGCTTTGCTGTCTTTTTAGGTAACTCATAGCCTCTTAAAAATCATTTATTATGTAATAAAGTTTAATTGTAAAACAAAGACTGCATGCCTATAGTAAAACAGATAAACCATCAGTATAAAAGTCATGAATTAAAAAAATGTTGCTCCAAATACATTATCGTCTTCAGGTACTTGGATATTTGGATATGAAAATGTGAAGACAGCAAAGCTACTTGTATAATGGCCACATCTGCCATCATAGGGAGCCCCGGCAAATACTCAGCTTCCCATAATGCTATAAAAAAGAATGCCACATGAAAGCTGGCTACACATCGGGCTAATGTACAGCAGATTGTACAGTCAGGTTGTATTGTTTGTGGATGTTAACATAGGTGTCTGAACCTGTGAAAATTGGCTTTATCACAAGTCAAAAATTAGATTGTCAAGCTGCATAAATACATTTGGTGTAATCTTCTAACACTGCTTGTTCTTTGGGTAAAAATAAAGTATTTTGAAACTATAAAGAGACTACAGTAACAGGACCATCGTAAGGTACAAAATCCTTTGATGCAAAATTGAGTCAATGGCTTAAATCCCATATACAAAATGTCCTTCCTGTTGTGAGAGAAATGCTATAACAACAGGAATTTTGTATGTGGGATTTAACTTGTGATACTTTTGTATTTTGAATTTTTCAATAAAGCATTTTTGTACTTTATGATGGTCCTGTTGTCCCTTTTTTTTTTTTGTTCCTTATATTTTCACATTGTTTTATGGGTGGACCATCTAGCATCCCTTTGCAAACAATTTCACTATATTTCCCAAATAGCGTAAATTACATTTGTATTACATTTCTCATACAAAATAATGGCGTCTCCACTGTTCTTTCCTATTTAATAGAGTTTGGCTATTGTAAAGGTGCCCACACACCTTACAATTTATCTGCAGATTTTCTGTGGTCAGGTGGAAAAGGTGCAACAGATTCCTCCATCTACACTTAACTGTGTGGATGGAGTAATCTCCACCTGGGCCAATCTGTTGCACTTTTTCCATCTGACCACAGAAAATCTGCAGATAAATTGTAAGGTGTGTGGGCACCTTTACACCTCGTACTCATTCCGTGGCATAACAATAGCCGTAGCAGTCCACGGGCTGCTATGGGGCCTGGGATAGAAGGGGGGCCAATTAGGGTGGCTGATGAGGAAAAGTAAACTGTGAGGTTTCCAGTATAGAAGGGCTGAAGTCAGACCTCAGGATGTCTTGTCACAGTTCCCGCTTCTGTGCAGCAAGAAGCATTTGCTTATCTCTCTTAGCAGTGTAGATTTGTTGCCCTCTGAACTTCTCCTACTGCCTGAATTTAACCCTGTATGCCTAATGCCAGCACAAATCCCAGAGTTTCACCTCTGAAAACTTTAAAGGAGTGCTGAGGTTTGTAATTCTACAACAATGTTTAATGAAGCTAGAGTTTAATTAAGTTTGTATTGGGGTTAAAGAGCAATTGCATGCAAGAGCATTAATCATGTTATAATATAAAATATCATGACACTCTGCTTGCTAAAGTGGGACTATGGAAATTGACAACTGAGCAAAGACAGAATTTGAATGCTCCAATATTGCATGAAGAGGTCCGGGTAGCAATTAAATCCTTGGCTAGCAACAAAACTCCAGGATCAGATGGGTCTCCTGCAGAATTTTATAAAATATTGCTATCGGATATTACTCCCTTGCTTACGGAAGAATAAAAACATATATTAAACAAAAAAATTAATATATTGCCGGCTAAAATATTTTCATTATGGTTATTATAATTAGTGCTAATATAACTTTTCATCCCCAGCACTGCTCCCTATTAGTGTACTCACTATATTGACCGCTCTCCTGCTGCCTGTCCTGGATACATACTTCATGTTAAGATTAATGATGCGTATTATCACAGTTGACATTGCCAGCTAAGTGTTAGCTGGGCAGCCCCAAAATGTTGTTTTGGGGCCCGATGAATTGTAGTTACTCCTCTGTACTCGTGCCTGCATGTATTGCCTGCATGCCCCCATGTATGCGAAGAACAAACTCCAATAAACAATATTTTACCAGGTAATATTATTGCAATATAATGATACTTGTACGCATTCATACTTTTTATGGTGTCAGCGTGGATCTAACTCTCAGGTATATGTAGAATCGCTGCAATTGTTTCTTCCTGTGATGTAGCTGAGTAGGTCTAATAACATGGATGTAAAAAAACATAGCTCCCATGATGCATTGGGAACATTCTTAGCTCTTCATCAGTACAAGCTGTGCTGTCAATCTGCACATTATAGCGGAAAGAGAAATCATATCATATAGTTCAAAGATTCTGACTGTGTCAGGGCTGCTGCTAGCCACAAAATCGTAACGGACATTGTTAAAGAATTTAGCAGCCGATTTTTTTATTTAGACTAGACTCGAACACAGCACTTGCTAGATGCATTTTTAAAGTTTAAAAACATCTACGTGTTTAGTCGTCATATTAATATGCATGTGCTTGCATTTATTGAAATTAAAAACGGCTTTTAGTTAGAAGCTGGAACATGCAGCAGGGAGTAGAAAAGAAGAATTTAAACTGTTAGCACATGACCACAAATGACTTAATTCTAAATTGGGAGTATGTATAATATATATATATATCACATACTGTATATAGATATGTATAGAGCTAGTAACATGTTGGAGGTTGCCAGCCAATGGCTCTCAAACAAGCCTATACAATACACCACTATACTTTTGAGAAATAACATTTGTAAAGTCTATGTAGCATACAGCAAAGTGTTTATCTTCTGTATTCTATACTGAGTGTTACTGTTCAATTTTGTGACTCTACCATTTAAATATCATTAGCTTTGCTCTGACAATGAGCATCATTATTAGTGGGTTAATGGTATGGATATGGCACCAGCCATGCTAATGTCAACTATCCCCCTGCCCGCCCTTTGCACATATTTCCTTCTTATCATTAATGTCTGAAACGGAGACTTCCTGCCCATTTGCTCAGCAGTTCACATGTAGTCCTGTCATCTAGGAAAGGAAGGATCTAATATGCTAGCAGCTGACACTGTGTTTCCTGGGTTAATATGGACTGTTCTAACCCATTAAGGATGCTTATTAATTGTAAAGTATCACATGTCACCAGCGACTTAGATCGGGCATAGGGCAGCAGTCATCACTGACAATGTGAGGGATTCCGATGATTACCATAAGACATGCTTTAATTACTGAATATTTATTAGCATATGATACATTAACTCTTTGTGTTTCAGATTAGCTAAGCTATCTGACAGCAGAGTTTACTGCCTCCTAATATAAAAATGCATTATGACTTCTGTATCACTCCAGGCAATATTTGTGTAGGAGAGCAAAATTTGCCAAGCCTAGAGGACACATTTAGTTGATACACTGGTGTTCTAGCATACACAAGCCATACCCTTTGTGGGGTCCAAATACATGAAGTGTACAGGCTGTAGACGATTTGCCATTTGCTCTAGCTAACACAAAAGCATACTATAAAATGTAGTATAAAAAAGTAATTTGGTATATTGCTGACATGTTCAGTATAAATAAATGTTTAGTACCTGCTAGAGCTATTCCCTCACCAAGTATAAAACTAGGTGAAATAAAGACAAGCTTCAAAGAAGAACAAAATTAATCCTTGCAGTGGGGCTACCCTGTACTGCAAGGGTTAAGTGCTCATTGTGCTCTAGGGTGTAAAGTAAAAAATAAATACTCACCCAATCCTCAGTCCCGTGGTGGTGACCGCTGACCTCTCTCCTCCCTCATCCTCACATCAAGTGCAAGTCAATGCACTGGAGGTAGCCCCATTGCAAGGGTTAATTTTGTACATGCTCGGCGTTCTTCTTTAAGGCACTGACAGTGGTCTATGCATGCCTATAGGGCTTATTACTCTTAACTCTTATAACTATTAAACATGGATGATGTCTTGCAATGCTAGGAGCATTGGGGTGCTATTATTTCTTAATGGCACCCCAACGCACCTAGCCATCACATGTATGTTGTATCATACCACATTGCAATTGTAACCTAAAGAAAAGTTGGTTGGTCATATAGAATTCTGTAAACATGTTTTATTTGTCTGTGACCCATTAAGGAGACTTTCCCCTTTTTCCTGTCCCTGTGAGGCCAATTTAAGAAATGGGGGTACAGGCATCTCCAGTATGAAAGGCACATATAGCAATAAAAACTTTGTATGGAGTTCTATTATATACCTATCGATCGATAGATAGATAGATAGATAGATATTATATAGCTGAGCATACAGGACTCAAAAGTTGTACATTTTGGGACATATTTAAGCATTGCTTGGGTGACGTGAGCATTAACTTGACATGCAGCAGTTAACTAGAGAGTGAGAACAAGCCCTTCTGAGCATCAGAATAAGACCCAGAACATGTTGAATAATCGCTATGCAACTGGACATGCTCATTCCCTTTTCTGCAGAGAAAAGTCTGTTTTGTCTAATTCTAATTTGTTCATTCCAAATTTATTTAGAGGCAACTGAGCATTGTATGAAGGTATTTGAAAGAGGAACTGTCAGTTTTGTCCATATCAACCGCTCCCTTTTAATTAGTCAGCCCAAAATGGATTTTTAATAGTTGCTATGACCAAAAGAGACCTTTTCTTTTATCTGACCATTTCATACATAAAGCCTAATGATGGGAATTTCAGCCAATTTCTAAGCCATGCTTGCATTGCCTTTCCACTGATATGTCAGTAATTGAAGTACTGTGCGTTTTATATTATAGGAACGGGTCCGAAAGTATGTTGTGCGAAAATACTTGCTGTATTACCTCTTCAGATTTGCTGCTGCTCTGGGACAAGAAATATTTTACATCACATTCCTGCCTTTCACCTTCTGGAACATCGACTCCTTCATCGCACGGAGGCTGGTTGTTGTCTGGTGTGTGAGTATCAACCTTATTTTCCCAAAAAATACAATTTGTCTTAAACTCTACTTTATAACATTAAATGCAAAGGCATGACACTCTGGCTCACGCCTTGCATAAAAAAAACTTTTCCTTGAACAGCTTTAAAGACCAACTCTATCCAAAATGAAAATCAATAAAGTTTTGGTTGGGGTAGAGAAAGGATTATAACCTTTGTTGGGATTTAATTGCTGTCTGTATCTCCATTTGGAACATTTCTTCTTACTTTTTGTCCAGGTGACCCCAAAGGAAGGTAGAGGAATCTTCTATAGCAGGGGACACACACCTCTACTTGGACTAAACATATTCACACTGTAATCTCATTACACCAAAAGGTGTCTGAATAAATCTTGTAGGTTTACACAGGAAAAGTCAGGAAGCTTGAACTTTGGGGTTTTATTAAGAAAAACCATGACTTCCTTTGCTGAAGTGCTCATACGCTGTGCCCCCTCTTTCTTTTTTTTTTTTTCTTGTGTCCCTTTCTCTTTTCTTGTGGTCATAGTTGCATGCATTGGAGATGTGTGGGAGGCCGAGGCAGCTGAAGTCAGATTAACCTAACATAGAGGCCCAGATTTCAAGGCTCTCAAGGTAAGGCTTTGTAGGTCTAGAGCAGGGGTGGGCAACTCTGGCCCTCCAGCTGTTGCGGAACTACAAGTCCCATAAAACATTACAAGACTGGCCGTTGCAGGCGTGAATCCCAGAGGCATGTTGGGATTTGTAATGAAAGCACATATAGAGGGCTGGTGTTGCCCACCCTTGGTCTACAGGAATTCCTAAGGCACTCTTTGCTGCCTACTTCACCAGCAGATTTTTTAATCATAACTAAACCCAAAATGTAATATATTGCAGTTTACCAATCCTTAAATGTGGTAACTGCATTAATTTTATTTTTTAAGATTTTATCCCTTTTATTTTCACCTGGTGATCTTGCGAGTAAGCCTTTTTTCATTTCAATTTCCTTTTTAACAGACCAAGCTGTCCAGCAAAAAATGTCAGATAGTGGGATGAGACAAATCGTTTAACAATAACAAGGGTGCTTACAATGGTCGGCTTTCATTTATTTATATAAAACCTTTTTTATTCCAAAAAGGATAACTGCTTAAAAAGCATTAGCTTGGGTTTAATTTTGTTATTCAAGTCCATCTAAATCTGCTAATGGATCTAACACAACCCCCAAACACAGGGTAAAAATGCTGCTGTCCAAGGGTGGTTCTGATGCTTCTCCATAGAGTGGAGCCACCCTGAGACAGGAATTATGTTGCTGGCCGCATTTCTAGGTGAAAAGAAGGGGAAAAAAATCTAAAAAAAAATGGTAAGTTGCAATACATTATGTTTTTGTTTGTTTTTGGGTTTAGACGCACTTTAAATATGTTTATTCAGGATTACCTGAGTACTTTAAGAAGCATTAGGTAAATGTTTTAACATTCAGCATTTGTTAAAACTGCAATATATTTAATGCCTAAATCGTTGTATTTGGTAGTAACAATTAAATAACCATTTAAATGTTGAACATTCTGTTACTGAATAAAGAAAAAATATATGTAATATACAGTATCTTGTTTTCATCAGCCAATGCAACAGCTTACTTAATTATTACAAGGAAAAAACTCAATACCTACTGCATGACTGGTATGTAACAAGTCACCTCTGAATCTTGTGACCCATATAAAATCTCTTCCCGGAGGCTATTGCATATATGCGTATAACTGGAAATGCTATAAGTATAACCTTTCTACAATTTCAGGACACAGTCAATAAAATGCTGAAGATAGACCGTTTCTCATTTACATATAATTTGCCCTTCTTTCCGACACTGGTATACAGAATCTGCTTTATTAACAATCTGTAAAGTGACTCTGTACAAATAATAATGAATGTTAAGAAGAAGCTTGATCCATGTTGGTAGTCCGGTACTTAAACATATTGGGGAAAACAAGTGAATTCCAACAATATAGTGCTTTGAGTGGCCAATCAACAGGCCCAAGCACTGTCATACGGGGGGGACGGGACATTTGTTTTTGTTTTTCTAACTAAAGTAAGTTTTACTTTCATTCTAAGTAGCATTGATGTATGTAGCCACCCCTCCAAGCTCACTCCTGTGATGGACTACAATCTCATGTTTAGTTTACTAATTTGTATTGAGATTGTAGTCCATCACGTGAGTGAACTTGGAGCGGTGACTACTTTACAACACACACAGGGACCATGGGGAACAAAAGTAGCGACTCTCCAGAAGGAAGGACAGCGTCAGCACCAATTCAGAGATGGTTTGAGAATCTACAGCTGAGGTATTGTATTGTATTGTATTTATAAGATTTAACTGCTGAGTGTAGTGTCACTTTAAAGTAAATGTGGTATTTCAAGTGACGCTAAACTCAGGAGTTAAATCTTAAAATGCATTCTAGTACTTTAACTGTTACACAAATAAGATACATTTTTGTTATCACTCAGCTGTAGATCCTCAAATCATCTCTGAATTGGTATGGACACTGTCCTTCCTTCTGGAGGGGGGCTACTTTTGTTCTCCATGGTCCCTGTGTGTTGTAAAGAAGCCACGGCTCCAAGCTCACTCCCTGTGATGGACTACAATCTCACATTTAGTTTACTAATTTGTATTGAGATTGTAGTCCATCATAGGAGCCCAAAACTCTGACCACCCCCTCCTCCCGAGCCATTCAGTTGCGGGGAGTTGCATTCCCCCGCCCCGCAGCTGTATGTCACAAAGGGGCGGGAATTGCCCCTTCCACAACTGCCAACACTGATTGGGTTAAGAGGAGGAGGGGGTGGTGGGTAAACTGGGTTCACATCAAGCCCAGCCTCATCTCTAGTTCTAGGTCTATGATTAAAACATGCAAATGTCAGACACAGGCGTGCATCTAGCATTTTTAGAAGGCGGCCTGCTATGGCTGACCCCATACTTCTCTTATTGCAGAGTCACTGTCAATGCAACCAACCTAAATTAACTCTACTGAAGTCAGGCTGGCACATGATAAATTCTGATTGGTTGTATTGGTTACTGCACTTAGGAATTAGCTCTGTTTACTGAATAAGGCCATGTATGATAGGACATGAATTATTGATCTGGTCATCATTGTACAGATGATGATAATGTTCGGCTCGTATATCAGTGTAATCTGTATGACACATTGTAATATATGGCAATACCTCTGCCTGACTCAATGTCTTTGCTCTGAACACGGCTACTTCCTATGTTTCCCCCTCTGCAGCCAGACTTATTTTTAGTGACTTTGTCAGCCCAGAGTCTTCTCTGGTTTTGTTGCCATAGGAACGGCTGTTAGAGGTACCGGAGTCGCAGCCGAAGGCGTCTTCCTATATTTCCTATGCAGGGAATCAGTTCTGCTCCCCATAATAAAAACACATACAAAAATATGTATCAGTCCAGCCAGGGATGCAACAACATATTCAGATCAGCAACCTAAACATAGCATTATTTAATGTCATGCAGGGAAAGATAATCATTAGCTCAGGGCTTTTTTTTTGTACTTATTTGTATTAAATATTTTACAAGTGATATTAAAACACAATTCCAGAAAATCATAAAGGAAAAGTAAATGACTCTACAGCCTTGAATTTCTGCTTTTTATGGGGGCTTTTGATATGGGGACAAAGGAACTGCCACCGGAAAAACCAATTTGACGTACAATGGTGGTTGAGGCAAACTGCCATCTACTGTATCTCACATATTTCACCAAGTCCTGAACATAAGAAAGGCTGCTATACTGCAATCTGGGAATATATTTCCAGAGAATAGAGCCTCACTAAAAATAACAAATGCTTAGCTAGCGACAGAAGCGGGCTTCTGTTCAATGGCCACTCAATATGTATCTAAACCTAAAAACAAAACAATTGTATATTGCAGCTTAGCCAATGTGGTGGCTCCATTATTTTTACTTCTTTTTGGCTTTTTTCCTCTTTACTCTCACCTGGTGATCCGGCCAGTAACCCACTTCCTGACTTTGTGTGGCTCCACTCTATGGAGGAGCAATAGAGCCACCCTTGGACAGCAGCATTGTCACCCTGCGGGAAGGGTAGTGTTAGATGGAGTGGTAGATTTAGATGGACATGACTAACAATATAAATCCGAACTTCAACACTTTTTAAGCAGTTTCAGCAACAGTTTTATTTTTTTCCATTTTAGGATAAAGGTTTTACATAAATTAATAAAAGTGTTAAAGGGTCTGTCTCGCCCCTCTATCTGACACACTGATGGACAGCTTGATTTGTTAGAGGAAGCTGAAAAAAATACAGATTTACTGGCCGGATCACCAGGTGAAAATAAAGGGGGGGAAAAGCCTAAACAAGAAAACGAATACAGCCCACCACATTTAAGGATTGGTACGCTGCAATATATTACATTTTTGCTTTTGTGTTTAGATGCCCTTTAAGGCTTTTTAGGACTTTTTTTCCTTTTTTTTTTTTCTTTCTGGGATTATACTGTACTCAGCATTTAATAAACCTTGTTAAAGCGGGGCCCCCAAAATTACCTGGCTCAAACCTCTATGAACCCCTAAATAAAGCCTCTGTACTCTACACACCTTTTTAGTGCTTTTTATATTTCCAAAACTCATGTTTTTAGTTACAAGCAGTGCACATTGCACTGCTCTCCTGACACCACAACTCCCAATATACATATCACCTGCCTACTCCAGTGTGCGTGCACCCCAGTGTCATCCATTCATGCTGGTACCTCCCACAAGTACCTAACTCTTTTCCTGATCCCGCTCCTATTCATGTAGACCGTGGGCAGTGCCAAAGTTAATGTAAGGATCTCAGAGCTTGTACGTGTTGGTGCTGAATGCATTGGCATGTAAGAACATAGCCCATATCAGGAGTACACCAAGGAGGGTGACTACATCCTATACACAGTGGGACCATGCAAAGCCAGTGTAAAACCCTAATAGTGAATTCTATTCAAAGGTATTGCTATCCAGATGACAACAATGGAAGTAAGATATGGAGAGAATATATATTTTCTTTCTGGATTGGCTTTAAGTTGATCTGAGATACAAACCAGTTGAAGGCTCCCTGTTCTCTAGTGAGCTACCTAAATGGTAAGACCCTATACCAGGGGTGGGCAACTCCAACCCCCAAGCTGTTGTGGCACTACAAGTCTCATGGGGCATTGCAAGAATGACAGCCACAGGCATGACTCACAGAGGTATGATGAAATTTGTAGTTCAAGCACAGCCGGAGGGCCAGAGTTGCCCACCCAGGTCCTATACCATATGGAATGTACCAATAGGATCCTAAATAGACTAAGTGATCCAGTGTCTAACATTTCAATATTTCCATTAAAGCTGAACCCCAGGCAGATATAAAAGACATAAATGAATCTCTGCGCTGTCAGCAAATAGCAGGCAGGACTATAGCTACAGCAAGAAAATAATTTGCTATAGATGTTTTTAATGAGCATAACTGAGAAAAAAATCTAAATAAACAGTATCTAAACACTAAAAACTACATTTCTTAAGGTGAGCTCAGTGACAATAAGTGACATAAAAACCAGTATATAATGTTTATAAAAGGGAAGGTCCTGGTCTGTCTTATCACATGGGTAGAAGTGTTCACAAGTGATCACAACTTTCATGTAGATTACACTTGGCAGGATACAAAAAGTACATAGTGCATCAGAGAATTTCCTCCATCTGTTCTAATAAGTTGAATACAGTCTGCTGAGCCATCTGCTATTAGTTTAAAGCTTCTGTCTGCTGTCAGATGGCTTTTTCTGAGCCATTGTATACCTTTTCTGTACACCGTGTCTCTCTTCATGACGTCAAGGTGCTGATAACTGTGTCCAGGCATAAAATGAGTCATTGCTGCCTTTCAGATTGTCATGTACATAGGTCAAGGTTCTAAAGATCTCTTAAAGTGGCCTCGTCCTTCCTCTCCTCCTGTGGTGAAGCTGGAAACCAGGGTGGAAGCTGAATATGGAATGCCATCAACTCATGCTATTGCTGCTACTTCAATTTCCTTCACTTTCTTACTGGCCTCCATCGGGCGCTATCAGGTAAGATGCTCTGCCACCATATTTGAAAGCATTATTTCTGATATTTTGATTGCTATTTCTAATATGGAGCACAGCTTCTAAAGTTGAATACCCATCCACTATTGGTGTAATTAGAGTTCTAGAGGTATACCTTCCAAATGTGTGAAATGAGAAAAAGGGACAGCGTTTAGTACAAAGTAGTCAATGGACGTAACCCTACCATGCCCCCCCGGATGCAGGGATGATAAAGAACATTGGGTGACCCTGCAAGTGCTTTTTTTGCACCATTACTTTTCCTTTTGGTATTGATTTTTCAAAATTCAATTAATAGTTCAATTTAAGGTTGATGTAGGGTAATAAGTTTCGTAGTTAAAGCAGAACTCCAGGCAAGTCAAGTCTCAACTCTTACAGTGGGGCTACCCCTGCATTGCAAGGGTTAAGTGCTCATTTCATTTAGGGAGGTAAAATAACTAAGATATACTCACCTAAAATGCGATCACGGCTTGCCCTAAGACTGGTCCAGTCAGCCTCTCTCCCCCTCCCCTGCAGCAGTCTAAGGTCCAGTGAGTCATCACATCCAATACATTGTATAGAAAGTGAGGAGGCCGAGGGACATGCCATCGTTGGAGAGGAGGAGGAGGAGAGAGGCTGGAGGGAGCAGTCTAGGAGCCAGTCGGAATCGTGGTTAAGGGGAGTCTAACGCTGTTATTTTAGCTCCTTAGACAAAATGAGCACTTAACCCTTACAGTGTGGGGGTAGCCTGCGGGGTTTGGCTGGAATGCTGCTTTACAACTACAACCTCCTTACAGCCAAGAAAACCATCTTGGTCTTTATTTAGATTGCAGTTGCCATGGTGCTGCACATGTGAACAGCTTTGACACCAGCCATTTGAGGGATTGCAAGTTTGGTTGAGAACTGAAATAAACAAATTGGCAACCTTGACAATTGTCATGTCTTGAAAGTAACCGTTTTGGGAGACATTTAATTGCTGGGTCAAGTTCCTCCTTTTTAAACTTTTTTTTTTTTCCCCCCCCTTCTTACTGTGCATCACTGCAGCACAGCCTGATGCCCTCCCAATCTACCACTACTTCTCATAGTGGAGAATACAGATGCCCCACCCACATCCCACAATGCAATGCCCTTTGCCATGGCACTTGCCACGTGAATGTATGGGGTGTGTCTATTCTAGTATGAACAAAGTTTGCAAATACCTTTTTTGCTTAAATGCTAGAGGATAATAAGTTAAATTGCCCCACCCCCAAAAAAAGTTTTGGTATTACATCGGAATTACTGGATGTACAGAGCATAGTCCAAGCTGATACAATTTTCAAACATAAAAACTATATTAATGCAAGGTTATCAAAACTGCCACCTTGTGATGTATGTGATGTTAATACAATGTTACCAACACTGCCATGTTGAATGTATGTGATGATAGTACTATGGCACCAACATTGCCACTTTGTAATGTATGTGGTGGTAAAGACTAAGTTTGCCCATGTTTAAACCCATATTTAAGGTGTTATATGGTCAGATCCCAAATCCCCCCACCCCAACGCACTTACCTGAAGAGGGGTTCTTCTCTCTGCAGGCTTGTGTACATTTTAAATTCATCATGGCGCTGTACACAGACACGCCATCCACTCACAGATCCTTTGGCAGAATCTTGAATAGAAAATCTACAAGTCATCAACCATTGCAGCACAGGGACTGGCTATTCTCAATGCCATAAAAGTGTGATGACGTCACAGCAGTTGTAGTACATTGACACTTCCGTCCCATGTTACTGAATGTCTGTACCTCAGTACAGACATTAACAGGAGGAAAAGTCTGCAGCATTGCACCCATGATCCACTGACCACCATTGCTATGCTATTCTAGCTCCTATGAAATGAGAGTTGACCTGTTGTTGTCTGTTCTCTCTGCAGTTCCCGCTTGTCCTGGGATTCGGAGCTGCACTCTGTCTTTCTACTCTGGTGTCCCTTAGCCGCTTGTATACAGGGATGCACACAGTGCTGGTAAGTAGCCTGCAATGTTTCTCTCTGATTCCAGTTTATTATCCATTTAGGAAATGGAAGATAACATTTCATTGGCTACTTTTGCCAGCAGCCATAGTTTTCTGTTTCAGTATAGTTTTATTATGTTTCCAATAAACCAGCTTCAGAAAAATAATCGCTTAGTTTTTTTTTTAATTACAGAAGGTTGACGTAGTTATAGCAATTTTGTAACTTACCAATGGACAGCATTCTAATGTCTGTGAGGCAATCAGTGAAATTCTTAATGATGTGTGTGTATATGGGCTCTGCAGCCTCTTCTTGCTCAATCCTTAAAGTGTTTTTCCACTTTTACATATTTATGTTTGTTACCCATTCTTATTTACATTGTATAACTTCAAAAAAATGTTTTTTAAATTTTTGATTCACAATACATTCTTATTTCTAATAGAAAAGTAACTTTCTGTACTGAGTATTCCTCTAGAATGCGGGGGACTGGGCAGGTTATTAACATAATTAGCCCTGTCTGTACTGGGCTGGCAGATCTCCTTATCAGTTATAAACTAGATGTGAACACTGTCTGCACTAAAATAAAAATGGTTACAGATCTAGACGTATTGTATGCTAAGGAGAGGGAGCTCAATCTGTCCCTAGTCTTTCTATGGGGACAGTCAGTGTTTCCTGTTACTGATCTTGAGCGAGAAAAGGCCTGCAACACAGACACATCTAAAAAGTAAGGAATATATTTTTTAATTATTTTTCAGTATGCTGTGGGAATTGGAACGCAAAACAAACATCTAGAAGGGCTTTCTCAAATTTGACTGCAAAAGTGGTAATATACTGTAAAGGGTTTCTAAACCCTCACGATTTTTGCATATATTTACTGCTAGCAAGCAGTAGATGTATGCAAAAAGTATTTTTTTTTAAAAACCAAAACGCTTTAAAAGCAGTTTAAACGTACCTGTGTCTTCGCCGCGCGCTCCCGTCCAAAAATCCAAAAAATGCTCGGGCGGCCGCAAAGCACCTTGGGGCGGGCGCATGCGCAGTTCGGATTTTTGGCCGGGAGACGAGGAGAGACACAAGGTATTAAGAGACATCATTTTAAGGTAAGTGCTTTAATTAACATTGGGGGGAGGGAAAAAGTTTTTTGATTTTAATGTCACTTTAAGGGTTCTGATGAAGGCCAGTCTCTGGTCCCAGCTTCTCTGGGAGGCCAGTCAAGTAGCCATGAGTGAAGTGAAAACAAGTTAGTGATGGGGAAAGGAGTGGGTCCACCCTGGGCCAACCCTGTTTTTCTATGTACTAATCAAATGGTTGACAGGTTATCCGAATCTTTTGGGAGGTAATGTTATTAGTGGGGGACCAAGCCTACTTGAGTTTGTTCATGGTATTGTGTAGTATGGCCACACGTTTTTTTAAGTAGATGCCAGGTTATCTTATGTTTGACCTGTGTAATGGTGGGAAAGTCAGACCACCAGACTTTCTCTAGGGTTTGTTTTGTGGCTGTGAATATGGAGATAAATAACTTGAATTGTTTTTTAGTGCGCTCTGAATGCTTGAGGTTCAAATAAACTCTTCCGTAATACTGTATAGACGAACTGATAAACACCTATCCAGAACCATTTTGGCCAGCAGCAATTTTCTTTCCTCTATGATTTAGAAATCGTTCCTTGATGGCAGCAAGGTAGAGAATCTCACGGGATACTGATGAGCAGAGTCCCTAGTGGCCAAACCGAAAACAATGTTTGAAATAGTAAATGCATAATTCAGGAGCTGCATGGATTCCACAGAATACCGAGAGATCGCTGCAAATATTTCTCTGAGAGAGATCTTTCTTATAGTCTCCACACATACATCCATTTGCATCATGGTTTTTTTTTTAGAAGAAAAATTTCACTCACATGTGCAATTATTATCACCTTGGGGTCAACATTGGGTTCCGTTTAATTAAAATGCTCATTTAATTGGAGTTTCTTCATGTTCTATATAGATTGCATTAAAACAAGAATTGTTTGATTTTTACCATACTTGTTGCATCCAATTCTCTTTGAATTGATGTAAACAAATTAATCCAAAATGATCCCAAAATGCCCGTAAGACTCTTTTATAGTTATGATTAGAATATTAAAATGTTTGAATTATCAGACAATGGGACTAAAGCATATATGGGCACTTTTGGACAAATGTCTGTACGGCTGTAATTGTCCGGCTGTTCTGTCAGATGTTTTTGTATGCAAGATTTTCTTAAAGTGGAAGTGTTCACAAAAAAAAGGGGGGGCGGGGCCTGGAACTTTTACCATAATGTGCTAGTGTGCACACTTTAAGTGACACTAAACTCAGGCGTTAAATCTTACAAATGCATTCATGTACCTTAACTATTAACAAAAATGTATCTTATTTGTGTATCACTCGGCTGTAGATCCTCAAATCCTCTCTGAATTGGTGCTGACACTGTCCTTCCTTCTGGAGGGTGGCTACTTTTGTTCTCTATGGTCCCTGTGTGTGTTGTAAAGTAGCCATGACTCCACTGGCTCCCGTGATGGTCTACAATCTCATGTTTATTTACATTGCAGTCATAGGATTTCTATGGATACATTGTTACTTAATAGTGCCAAACACTGAACACGGAGCTTTGTTTACTTTTGAAGCACGCAGCACTTTATTCTGGTGAGCATCGAGTATAGTATATTTTGATTCCTAAAGCTATCATTTTTCTGGAGTTTTCTGGCAGCTACTCATGTTCTTCAAAGTGTTTTATTCCAAGTGGATTGTTTGTTTAAACTGGATTTCCACTCTGAGCTCCACAACCATACACTCTGTTGTTTTAGAATATTGTGATCAGTATACTGCTGAGAATTTAAAACAGAGGGCACCGAAACCACAGACCTTCGACAGTCGTCATTCAGCAATGGCAATGTGAATTATAATTTCTACTTTGCTTGCTTCATTCAGCTCTAGAATTTGTGATTTGTATTGTACATTTTAGCCCATAAGAGACTTTGCATTCAGATTAACTCGGGTTAGTTTATAAAGAAAACTTGTTATGAAGCATAGCACAAATGTGTATATTGCTTTCCCTGACAACTTTTCATCTCGTCTTGCATTGTATTGTCTCCCTTACTTTGTAAAGCACCATGCAAACTGTTAGTGCTATAGAAATTCTGTATAATAATAATCAATGTTTCTTTACTGAACAAGATCCTCAGAGCTCAGGAAGAACAATAGTGTATGTTTTCTACTATTGACCTGTTGAAGTCTGCCAGGCCCAAGACGCCGCTCTTGAGATGGATGGCAGCTGTCAATTTACATTCCTGACCTTATTGCTTCCCTTGCATAGGCTCGTGGGATGACTCACTAAAGCATATATTCCTCCTCTGTATCGCAATGCCCCTTTCAGTTTGCCTTGTCCAGCAGCCCTGGGCAAGAGAAGCATGCAATTAGTGCACCATAGATATTTCAATGAAAATGATTACACAGAGAGGAACAATAGCATCCTCTGGTCCCTTCACAGCGGGAGTTCAGGGGAGTACAGTGCAAGTCAGTGATTTGCGGACTTTTCCAGCAGGGAATGGATTAGACTTCAGAGACACATTACCATGGCTTATGTGGCTACTAGGCATTTGGAAACTGCCAATAAGTCTTAAAAGTATTTCGACGGAATCAAAGAAGTTTTTAAACACTGAATCACGTGGAGGTTTCATGGGATAATGGCCATCAAATACAACCTTTGAAGATGAAATGGGGATGTCTTGTAGTGTTAAGAATTTTTTTTTATTAGTCTGGTTTCAGAAAGAAAGCCAAAGGAGATCTGTGAGTTCCATCAGAAGTTCCCAATGTGCTATCCAGACATGAAAGTAGTAGTGTTTAACTTGCAGCCTCTCCAAGATGCAATATTTACTATTTGGCCTTATTCATACCTCTGATCAAAGTGAGACAATTGTCTAGTAACTTCTACCCTAAAGTCCCAGACTGAGAACTTCCCTTAGCTGTGCAGACAGGCTCATGGAAGTATTCCCCCAACCAAGCCAATGGTGGATTCTTGTATTCATTTCTACCACAGACAGAACATGAGAAAAGTGAAGTGCTGAGTATGGGACATCCAAAGTGGCAAATCTCCACTTGTAGCTATTGGATGGAATTACTTGTCACTAACTTATTTTCTCTCTATTTTACAATGTAATTTTAAAGAAAGCCAATAATGTGTAACGAATGGGCAGGTATGGCTGCAGAACCCCTCTCAGCCAGAGGAACTCCAATCTCCTAATTAGTGGTATGGCATACAAGCTCCTACATTGATGATATACTTAAAGGGTAAGGAATTGTTCACACAAACGTTCCTTACCCCTTTGCCCTCACCCCCCAACAAATGTAGCCCACTCAAAGCACTAGATTTATAGATCTAAATCTTGCGTCAAAACCTGCAGCATTGTTTACATCGCTCTGCTGGCTTTTTCACCCTGTGTCCACACATGTGCAATTCGGCTGCATAGACCTCTATCCATCTGCTGGGTTAATACATGTCTATGTGGCCAAACTGCACATCTACGGCATCAGGTTACAAAGCCAGAAGAGCAATGTAAATCAATGTCTTGGCAACGAAAACACTGTGCTACAGTTGCTTGGGACAAAAGGGTAAGGGAATTTGGGGAAACTTTCACAATCGTTTAACCAACATCATACCACCCCATTGTGCCCTTTTGGATGCCTATATAGTTACATAGTATTTGAGGTTGAATAAAGACATTAGTCCATCAAGTCCAACCTATTAGGATCTCATTCTAGGAGTACCTGCACCCAGCTGTACATATGATCATGGGCGACATTCACAGAGCCAATCAGAGTGGCTTTGTGGCTTGTCAATCACCTGTATAGTCAAGAAAAATGTGAACAGAGCCCTCTGCTTCTATCTCTGCTGGTAATCGCTTCTCATTTGTAAGTAACACTGCTTCTACTGACCAACAAAAGGAGGGCACATATATCCACTTGCTGCCCTTTGTGGTTAATCAGCCGTAAAGAGGACACGCGTACAACCAATGTTATGGGGGGAAACACTACTGACCATCAACAGTTATGGGGCACTCAGTGCTAATTGCCAACATTTAAGAGGGCATACACCACTGACCATCATTTAAAGGGGCACATACCCTGTCCACCACCTTAAGGGGGCACTAACTCCTTACCACTGAAATCTGCAAGCTGTTCTGTAAATGACATAGTCCTGAGCCCTGCACTATCACTGCTGCACTGTATATGCTGTCCTAAACTAAACTTTTGGTGGTATTTGTAATGCCCTGACATTTTATAGCCGGAAGAAATGCGACAAGCAGTCAAATAATCCGTTTTGTTTTTTTATAAAGTGAAAGAAATTATAGCAAATGAATTGAGAACACTATTGCATGATGAAGTGTCAGTTGAACTATCACAGCACTGAAAAATGGCCTAGTAATGAAGGGGGTATATACCGGCTACTTGAAGGAGTGATTTTTCTTGTTTAAATAACCAATCATGTGCAGTAGGAACTGGAAAAAGAAATTGAACCTGTACATGTTTAGCTATTCAAAGCAAATAGAGTGAGTTAAAGGAGAACTATGAGGTGAGTGAAAATCACTCATCCTCATAGTTCGAGCCGACCTGTGACATGTCGTATCAATAGATCGGGAAGTGAGCAAATGCATACCGTTGCTCGCTCACATCTCGATCATCTCCCTGCAGAGAGCAGTGACTGTCAGTCACCGCTCCCCAAAAGGATTCCCCCTCCGATCCTCCAGCGCTGACTGGAGGAACGGACGGGGAGGTGGTGAGTACAGCTGGTTTTGCCTCTGTATGGGCAGAGCCAGCTGTCACTCACACAGCTGGGTGGATCTCGACAGTATTGTCGGGATCCGTCCCGGCTGCGGCGCTCTCAGTATACCGCAAGCTGTAGCTTGCGATATACTGAGCTTTGGGTCACGGGAGGACGCTAGTATATGTCCTCCCGTGACCCTTAGGAGAACTATGGGGAAAACACTTACCCCATAGTTCTCTTTTAAGCCCTCGTTCACACCTGACCGTTTTGTAGCGCGTTCTACGCTCGACGAACGCTCTACAAAACGGTCAAAAATATAAATTGCATTGTAGTCAATGGCCCCGTTCCCACCTTGCCGTATTTCCGCCCGTCCCTAACGCCCTACAAAACGGCCCACGCCTGAAAAGGTCCAGGTACTACTTTGGGCCGTTTTGTAGGGCGTTTTCCATTGGGATACAGCCAAGTAGCCTTCGGAATCGCGCGACTTTTTTACCGCGAATCGCGGTAAAAATCCGCGCGACCGCCGCGCATATTACAATACGCCTAGGTGTGAATGGGGCCTAAGGGTTTTTGGTGGGGGTCAGGGTAAAACATTTTGTCTCCAGTAAATGCCTGTATAGCAAAGAGTGAAATGAAACATTTGGTACTTCAGATTAGTTGGGAAATTATATTTACTGCTTTATGTTTGTCCATGTAAAATTACTTTTAATCATAAAGAGCTCATTTGGGGGGGAGAAACATTTAACGTGTCAATTTCTTTCTTTTTTTTCCCCACAGGATGTTATTTGCGGAGCTTTGATCGCCCTGTTGTTTCTAGCAGTTACTTTTCCCATGTGGGATTTAGTTGATCATCAACTTTTGACAAACTCCCTTTGTCCAGTGGCAGCAGTCATTACTGGTTTCTTTCTGAGCTACAACTACCCAGAGCTGGATCACTACAGCACCACCAGGGCAGACACAACCGTCATACTGGGTGTTGGAGCAGGGATCTGTGTAGGTGTCTGGTTAACCAATCAAATGGGCCTTACTTACATTCCAGCTGGTGATTTCCCACTGACTATCCCACCAATGACCTTTAACATGTTACTCAAGTTCATAGCGAGATTTATTCTTGGTGTTGTCCTTCTGGTTGTCACAAGGTATATTTCTAAAACGTTGTCTCTTAAAGCACTTGGCTCATGGTACAAGGTTTCAACACATGACCAGTTGGTGAAGCAAAGGCTTGAAATCGAGGTTCCTTATAAATTTGTGACATATCTATCTATTGGAATTATAGCTACAGCTATTGTTCCTTGGCTCTATTACATGTTGGACCTGGAAGTATGATTAATGCCTGAGAATTGACCAGGTCTACATCCTGAAAGCTGTTCTTCAATAAAAACATGATGATATTCAGGAACATCTCCATTCCAGGACTCAACGTTGTCATCACAGAAAGAAAGTCAACACTGCTTTCCCCAAAGATCAATTCCTGGAATGAAACCATGTTTATGATTGTTGTTCTTTTTATTTTCTCCTGAATTCGGATATCAATGTTGAAGGTGTTTTCGGGTTGAGCACTGTGAAATAACTTATTGGACAACCTGCTTCGTGCCAATCTTTGTGGACTATGTACATGGTGAAAGTTTACAGAATATGTACTGCACTGATTTTTTACTGGTATCGTGATTGTACAGTTTACAGAAAAAACATTATGACAATGGGTGATGTGAAGCATTAGGGACGTCACCCACAGGTCTGACCAGATTTGCACATATTTCAACAGTGGGATAATGTTATTGGGATATGATGTGTATTTATGATCCACACGGTGATATTGTATATCTGATCCTAACTGTCCCCAATGGTAATCTGGAGACATTAAGCAAGACTAAAGAAAGGTCTTGTCAAGTGTCATCGCAAAATATGGTCAATATTGTAAAGCATATTGTGAAGATAGGAACAGTGATTGCAATAAACAGGTTACTTTAAGGGAAACCTGTATTGAAGAAGAAAGGCTGCTATGGCTGAGCTCTCGCTCGCTCTCTCTCTGAAATTGCTGCTGCTCTGACATGCTCAGCCATTGCCTTTAGTGCTTTCTACATGCCTGACATGGAAAGGATTTTCTATCGATGTGTTCTGAAATTCTTACCTTTACAAATCTGCACACTTACTCCAGGCCAATGATTCAAAGTATTGAAAGCAAAGACCCAAGTAACTAGTATTTTCAAAAAGTAGGTCAGCAATGAAAGCCTTTTATCTTTCTCTTATTCAGGTGTCCTTTAACTATGGTTACTACTCCTATACTGCACATAAAAATGCCAGTTTAGTAAATATAGTTTCTCTGCTTTGATCTGCATAATGGATCTGTATTAAATTTGTGAGATGAACTATGGAATCTAGATAAGTAATGATGTATAGCCACTATTTCCAAACATTGGCAACCCAATGTATAGTATCTTTTTCCACACACAAGACGTTGGCAAATTGTAGCCACCTACTGCTGAGGACATCGGTAGCAGCAGGCAGAATGTGCTGCACTCTGAGACTTGTGGCTTCTCAACATCAGGAGGTGCACAGGTCCATATTGCCACTAATTCTTTATATAGGCACATGAAAGAACAAGGACAGAATGATATCTGTGAATGTTCTCATACATCCGGGTCATGGTATATCTGTAAAAAAAAAAAAGTCAAGGCAACTGGACTTGCTGTATTTTCCTTAAACGCCTTTGACTTATTTTTTTTATTTTTTTTTTTTACAGATAAGGACAAAATTAGTTTAGAGTCACAATTGGATATGTACACGTGAAGTTTAGTAGTCTATATCCACCACTTCGATTTCAGTTTTCTGCCAGAGGTTGAGTAAAAGGTGAATAGTATAGGTTTTACATAAACTGAAGTAGGTATTCTTTGTTCTAGGTTTATCATGGCTTATTTCGCATTCATGGGCTCATATAAGATGTATTTCTTATTGGAAAAATCAAGTGCATTTGAATAACCACAAGATGTTTTCCCATCACACTATGTACTTCTGGTCTAAGGCTCTGTTCACACTTAGGCGTATGGAATATGCGCGTTTGTCGTGCGTTTTTACCACGATTTGAGGTTAAAAAAATGTGCGACAAACGCGTGTTTCCGAGGGCTACTTGGCTGTATGCCAACGGGAACGCGGGACAAAAACGCTGCAAAGAAGCTCATGTAGCTTTTCAGGCATAGGCCGTTTTGTAGCGCGTTCAGACGGGCTGAAATACGGCAAGGTGTGACCCATACCCATAGAAAACAATGGGATTTTCCTGTTTGAGCGTTTTGTAGAGCGTTGAACGCGCTACAAAACTTACAGGTGTGAACCAGGCCTAAAAGCTGTCTGAACACACTGCAAGAGAGCCACTGGAGTCTAATCTGCACAAACTCCAGTTGTAAGTGGCGGTGCAGTCATTCTGTGACATAAAATAATTATTAGATAGTAGATTATCAGTACTCGAGGAACAAGTGACCCTATTGAGCACAAAATTCCAGAATTGCAATAAACTGAAGATAACGGAGAGCACAAAGTTCTAAAACATTACACATCGTCGTGCAACCTTATTTTCTAGCATGGTGTGAATTGATAAATAACACTGATTGTTATTAAACATAAACCAAGATAGGTTCGCCTACCGCTGATAAAATTATTGCAACAAGCGCTGTGGCATTCATTTACAGTGGAAAAAAAACACTCAGGGTTTGTTCAACTTGTTCTACATTTTATGCAAAAATCAGATTGCAATACCTTCTGTTTGTGGTGTCCATTTATTTCTTGATCAACTGCACTGGTCCATAGAGAGAACCTTGCAAGGTCCACTTATGTTGCAGCCTCCCTACAGAACATAACTGAAGGTATTGGAAGAAAACACCCTGACTTCCTTACATAGGTGAGGGTGATGTCACTAGACCTAATCATAAGATTCTGGGAAAGTGGAAGCGCCCAAATCCTACCAGAATGTGCTTCAAACTACGAGATATACAGAGCTTTCCCAGCATCCCGCAGTGACGTCACCTGTGCCTATGGTAGGTATTTTTTACATTTTACTTTATTGCTTTTAGGTAGCATCTTTTATTCGGGTGAAGGGGGAGCTGAAACATAAACAGCCCTTGAATTTTCACATAAGGTTCGCTTTAAAAAGCACCCCCCACCAAAAGTAACAGGGTGGAACAAGGTAAGATAATCTCATTCACCTATGAATCTGGCCCTCCAATTTACAGTCCTACATCAACATTTTTGTGTTTCATGGTATTTGTAAAATCTCTGATCCCCAAACAAAGAGGGGTAAATGTCAAAAAGGACAAAGATGAGATTACCACACCCTGACAAACCTCTTTGGTAGTATTCTTGAACTGGGAGGGTAATAATGATCACGTAGCCCGAGCTAATTCCAGAATAACGATATTTGAGAGTCAAAAGAAAAAGTGACATGCTCTACAGCGACTTTGTTTTGTGTAATTCACATAATTCTGTACTCTCACCTTATCTTACAAAAGACTTTCATGCTGGTGACTAAACAGAAACTGGACGGCAAGGATATTAGAATGACAGCTTCAGGTCAGAAACAGATTGCGGCAGAGCTCAATTTAATTATTTAGTAGAACAAATGTTTTCCCAGAACACGGAACTTTTCTGCTTTTTAGCCCCATAAGCAGGTTACAGAAAAGCTAAAAGGGGAGATTTATCACAATGAGTGTTTGAAGTGAATATTTTCTGTTTGGCCGCTATTAAAATCGGTCATTGGAAGTTGTTTATGGTCATGGAGGCCATACACTGTCAAACCGTTCTAGTCTGGATGTCATTTGCAGTAACGTTAAAGGAGAACTATGAGGCGAGTGGAAATAACTCATCCTCATAGTTCTAGCCGACCTGTGATAATGAAACTGTCACGTTGGCTCAATAGATCGGGAAATGAGCGAATACATACAGTCGCTCGCTCACTTCTCAATCATCTCCCTGCAGAGAGACGTGACTGTCACTCAGGGCTCCCCTCTCCGATCCTCCAGTGCTGAGTGGGGGAACGAACGAGGGAGGGAATGGGCACAGCTGGCTCTGCCTCTAGATAGGCAGTGCCTGCTGTCACTCACGCAGCTGGGTGATGTCAGGATCCGTCCTGGCTGCGGCGGTCTCAGTATACCGCAAGCTATAGCTCGCCATATACTGAGCTTTGGGTCACGAGAGGACGCTAGTATATGTCCTCCCGTGACCCTTAAGAGAACTATGTAGAAAGTATGTAGTTACAAACAACGAGCAGTTCACTTTTTAGAGCAATAACAATCTTCAACACTTGTCTTAGAAATCTTCCAGCATGATGGAAAGTCTTTATTCAAGCACAGAATTGTTTTACAAGAAGCAACTGGCCTTGAAACAATATGTATTATTTTGCTGCACAACTGCCCAGAAAACGAATAATTTTATGGTGTATACCTGATACAAAGGTACCTGGTAATAATTCAGAAAATGGGCTAATGTCAAATACTTCAAACTATCAAAGTCATAGCATGACTAGGATTATCTGCAAGGTTGGATGTCAGAATGGCCAATAGCCGGATAAATACAAATGTAACGCATTCCAGTATAGCTTGTGACGATTGGGCCATGTGGGTTACAGTCACAACTTCTAGTCTTTGCACACAGTGACGAGTAGCATATCCTTCTCTTTTTGTCATAGAAAAGGGGATGAGACCTTTATAAAGAATGCCCCATCAGCTTCTGGCAGCCAAATGCTAAGATACAGTTGTGTACAGTGATCCAGAACGGCAGATCTCTTACCCCCACTTGTATTAGATTATATATCTGCCCATGTAAGACATATGGAAATGTTAATAATGCTATTTCCCAACAAATCAGCCCAAAAGTAATCTCAGTCTTCAGTGCACAATGATAACATGGAACGCCATTTGTGGTATGTTGCAGGCTTTTTCTCTTCTTCAAATAGTGATTAGCGCACACCAGAGCTCAACCACAGATTTATATTTTATTCAGCTCAGCAGTTCCAGCACAAATGGGTTGAATAAAAGAATTTCTCTAGTGTGCTCTATTCAATATTTGGCCGTGTGGTGGATCTGGGACCTTCCAAAGCCAATATTGAGCTCCAATAAATACACGATAAAGGAATGGGGATGATTCTCTTCCTCACATCTGAATAAAGGACATTCTGCTAATAAAAGGGGCATCACAGGAAGGGCTCCACGTTTATTTCTAAAGCCGAGCAGGGCAGTGTCAGGTCAAACTTCGTGATGACATCAGGGTGTAAGACGCCCAGTTTTCCAATGCTCTTGCCATCAGCCAGTATTTCTGCACAGCGTCCAGGAAAGAAAGCT